ACCTCTCACTTCACGGCAGAAAACAAAGAGCTAGTGGTGAGGACAATACTTGGACTTGGTCCTGGTAAATCCGAATCTAAATAATCCGAACCCCCCATATCAGCCATGGTCAACCTGAGGATGAACCTGGTACATGGATGTACATGCTGTCGCTTGCGCGACGTCGCCCCAAAAATAACGAACGGGACGAGGAGGCATCCCGTCCACCTTCTCCGCTGCACCCGTTCGCACCATCGACTCTTTCCGCCAAATGTCGCGCGCGTATGAAAAATGCAGAGGAGCTGCATCTGGAGGCCCTATATCTCTTTGCAAATGGGATGTAGGGCTACTACGCGCCCATCTAGCCGCAAAATGATCAGTCCCTGTAGACCAAAAGATCCAAGCGCACTGGCAAGATCCAGTCTAGGGACTATGATCTTGAAGAATCCGCAAACAACTTTCTGTTTGCATGTTGAGCAATGCATATTATTCTCATCTTGGGATCGATGATCATAGGCAGTCGTCCGCCGACATGCTGAAAATTGTTTACTTGGAGCAAGTCAAACATTTGAAAGTCCAGCATCAAATGATCCCAAGAAAGCGTGACTGTGAAAAACTCTAAAAATTCCTCGGCAATAAACACTATAAAGACAGAAATTCCACTCCAGCCCAGCCTGTTGAGTTGAAGGACGGAAATTAGAGATGGCAAACAATTCGCAGGAGAAAGATTCCACATGGTTGTCATCCCCATATACTTCACACACTTACAACTATTCTCACTCTCGAACCCGACCATCTGCCAATAGAACTGTAGAAAATCATGCCAGTTCTGGACTGGACGCATTGAGATGACCTGCAGAAGAAACCAGACGGTTTAAGACTTTGGCAACAAGAGACACATGCATGCAAGTACATAGTGTTTGATTATCAGTTTGATTGTCTATTTTGGTGTAGTCTGCATTCTCTCATGAAAGTGCAGGTGGATGATCATACACTTTCAGCTATGTCTGCGAAGTTCGGGCCATCGCCGTAAATCCAGGGCCCAATGTTTCCACGTCGAGGGAAACAACCTTGGTCCCCCACATGCAGGTATGCAAGAAACAAACTGTGGTAGAAGGAAACAAACAAACAAACAAACATACGCAAACAGTCTGATTTCCTTCGGAGCATGCTTTGACCGAATTCTACCGGTATGTCATGCCCATGACTAAACCATCGTGCTTCGCCTCAAAACGGATTGGCCCCAATTCCTTTCTTTTGGTGCGCGCCCCCCAATACCTTCACAGTTCTAGATTCCGCATCTGATCGAACATGAGAGGGTTCCGATTCCAGCTGGCTTTGAAGGATGAAAAACCCTGAAACGACCGTCGCACCGAAAACACCTCCATGAAACGGCGTCCAGTCAGACTGGGTTTGGAGGTAAAGAGGAACCCGGAGCGGCAATTTGTTTAGCTGGGAACAGCTCGCATGTTGGACTACAATGTTGTTTACATGTAAAGGCTGCTGGCTATACCATACGGCTGCATGAAGCGATTAAAAAAAGAGAAACATGTTAAAAACCATGCAAACTCTTCAGTTCCCTTCGTCCCGGAACGAAGTCCGTCACGTTTGCTTCGGCACGTGTCACGTGTCGAGCTGCGACTTCTGGTAACCCAGTCAGACTGTTAGGCCTTCCTTTGGATTTGAGTGGGGAAACCAGGGTAACCAAACGAAAAATGTGCAGCATGTCCCCTCACCGGGCAGGTAGTGTACATTATCGTACACTCACTTTGCGCTTCTTTCGAGCTCCGAGATTGATTTGGGTTTGACAAAGCCCAGGAGCTTGACAGATGGAAAATACAAATAACAACAATAGTCAGTTCACACGCATATTCCTCGACTATCACATAGGTGTGTATTTAAATGCGGGGACCCCCCGCCTTTTTGTTTTTCTATAGTTTTCCTCTTTGAGGGGTGTGTAGGTCTCCCGACTCCCGGTCTCCCTATTTTAATACACACCCACATAGATTCTTTAACTACCACTAGAGGCCCACACTGCAACGACGACATCATGCGGTCGATCAAAAGGCTCCCACATGACCTGCTCCAAAGGGCTCGTTTGGTGCGCTTGCTCTTGATCGAGTGCTTGGCTCCAAAGATCTCTTCAGCTTCTAATGAGACCACGCGTTCACTTCGTTGACGCGAAACTGGAAGATCAGGAGAAGACGGTCTTCTGCCTCTTGACTTTGGGCTTGCGCAGCCATCGGCAACAAAGCGATCCATGGCTGGCGCAGACATGAAGGCCGTCTGGGACTGGTGCGCACGTTATAAAGCAAAAACTGCAGAACGTGGCAGGACGTGTTTCACGCATGAAAGATGGGAAGCATCAAGAATTCCTTGACAGAATCAATGGACGTGTTGCGGTCATGGCAATTCGTAGCAAATATACTTAGCAATCCCCTCTTGATCGGCTTGCCGGCATGTTTCAACCAGTCGAGAAGACCAGCCGCCCGGTCGTTTTCACCTGTTAGAAGCTGTCGGTTGGTGAGGATGAACTCACTCGTCCAAGTGCTAGACCAAAGGGGCTAGACCTAAGGGGCTAGACCTACGGACATTTGGCCTTCAGGGTGGAAGGCACCGCAGTCCAGTCGAGAAAAGAACCCTTCACTGGATGGATCTGTTCACCGCACGACCGCTCCAGTTTTGGCGCAGCATGCCAGTCGGGCACGTGCACGACGTTCCCGCCGCGCAGGAAAACATCAGCTCTTAATGCGTGCACGACGTCCGCACCTTCGGGAAAAAAGGGGGTCCATATATTTCCATGTGGGTCCATACCAGGTATTGCCAGGTAGCATAAGAAAACCCAGGTATTGCCTGGTATATACCGATAACTTGCCAGGTTTGCTTGGCGATCAGGTCTTGCCGCTTTGCCATACCGCGAGACAAGGTCAAGCCGGGGCACATAGACCATGAAGCCAGTGGTGCCCAAGGCGAGGCTGCCAGTCGTGCCGTCCAGATCGAGGCCTCAGCACCGACAACCGACATTCGGCGACTCGTGGCCCACCATGGTTGTGAGGGTCGCGCTATTACCAAACAACAGATCGTTTTACTGGCGGATTTTGAGACGACAAAATACCAGGTCAACCTTTTACTTAATGGTCTTTGAAGGATAATAGGCTAGGGATGGCTAGGGATTATATAATTACATTATGTACCGTGACACGGGATATTCGTCTGCCAAGAAGACCGAGAAATTGTTCCTATAAGTGAATCTGAGTTCGTGAGCAGCCCAGGAATCACCGGACCAAAGCCATCCTTAGTCCTCTGAAACTTACTAATGATAAACCAACCATATATTCTCATAAGCCAAGATGGTGGGACCAGACTCATCTGTGGTGCTCAACGAATTGGAAGGTGTTTGCAGTGGAGGCACTCCCAAGAAAAATCATCCATCTGCAACCGGAAAATTGGTACAGTCGTACCTGTTCTTTGTTGGGGTCATGTCCCATTTTGTCACACATACACACAGGATCTGGCAGGCACACCCACCCAAATTGTGTAGCTCGCCAAGATTGATTGTCACAACATGATTGGATATGAACAAGACTCGTTTGTGGAGCTTCCACCATGGGAGTTCGCTTGTGTGTTCTTGGCTCAAAGCCATTGTTTCAATGGCTTGCCAAGGCCCAATAGCTTTATGTGCAACAAGCTTTGGGTGGATCATAGCCGTGGACTACCGTGGAAATCTTCATGTACATGGTTTCCTTGTGCACGAATCGAAATGGGAGAGATCACAAAAAAGGGATTGCTTGCCGTTTCCCATCTGGCCTAAGCTAGGCTTGTTATATTAAGTTATTAGGGAGATCGACTTACTCGACAAAGTTCGGGGTTGCCATAATGAGATTCCAAAAAAGAAAACATAACACGACCCATAAGCCTCCAGGTCCAGCCAGATCGAAAAAAATCTAAAAAGTCCTGCAAGATCGAACATCCCTATAGGGTTGACCTGGGGTCTTTCTGGCGCGGCATATCTATTCCCAGGCCAACCTTCCGATTGGACCGCTCGGCCAACCTTCCTTCGGCTCGGCCAAGCTCGGCTTCTTTGGCTTCGTCCAAGGGGCAAAGATGGTATTGGATCCCCGGTGTCAACGTCGTGGTGTCGAAGTGAGCGCTCCAAGATGTGCCGCTGAGTGCCCTCGCGGGCGCCGGCGAGCGCGGGCGCGCTCGCGGAGAGCAGTGTCAGAGCAGTGGAGGTGCCGCGGAAGGCAGCGCGATGGAGTCGGATCGTGGTGGCGGCTTTCTGGGGAAATGAAGCCATCGGTTTTGAACAGGGAACATCTACAGGAGACCATGGCTTTCACACCCCAAAATCAGGGTGTCCTGTCCCCTGTTCAAATTGAAACCAATTCTGGTATGGACTGTTGATGTTTAAAACTGGCCAATATGGAGATGTATATAACAATTCTGGATCCAGGGGGGCAGAATATCACCTTGAAGTACACCTCTCTTTTGTGGGCCTCTGAAGGCCATGGTTCACGGGTCAGCCAGCAGTTCCAAAGGAATGGTGTTAAGCCTCCAAGGGAGGGAGAATGGGCACTCCTAGCCTGCAATAAGCACTCCTTTGTGGGGAGGTTTGGAGAGGAATCTCCCTAAAGCCAGATGAACTCTTCCACAACAGTCGAACAGCATACCAGAAGAACCATGTCTGGCCCAAGAGCTACTAGCCAACCCTTCCAGTTAGAGTACATAACTATGGCTAGCTATGTATGTACAGGAGTTCCAAACGCATGCTTGTTGGAGAGTACTGCAGTAGGTGTGCTCATGATCCCCTCATTTGGGGTATCAATTCGATCGATTCTTTTTTGCAGCTGTCTCACCAAAGCCAAGAAACATGCAGCTCAAAAAGACCTGCAAAACGCTTGGTGGCCAAGACGAGTCTTTGAAATGCACCCGTTTCTTTGGGTCCAAAAAATGGACTCCGTATATGGTGTCTCGATCTGCTTTACATGGAGAACATGTCCACGACCCCCACCTTCCCTCCAACAGCCCGAGTGACTCCCCCCCCCGCACATATGGCTCCACGACCCATCCGGTCTCTCCGTGTCAACCCCGGAGCTGCTGCCCAGTCGACGCGAAGCTGCTGCTCACCACGCCCAAGGAAGAGGCGGCATTGGTCACGTCCACTCGATCGCCACAGTCCAAGGCCAGCATCAAGGAAGAGGAGCTCGTACATGCTGGCGCCGGGTGAGTACGGCGAACCGATCTGTGGAAACATCCACATTCTTGAACCGAACTGTTCACCTCAGTAGAAACAAGAAGCTATTAGGAACAAGTGCCACGCTACTAGGAACACCTCATTTCGGATTTGAGATGATTTGGGGAGTCCCGAATTCCCCAACGACGGTGCTTGCAGGTTGTCCCACGTATTTCCTGGGTCGCGCAACCCCCTGCCTGCTTTGAGACTGAAAAACCGGACGGAACCCGTCGCTGCACTGGGCGGTCTTTCATAGACACCCCATGGCCTGGGGGCTCTGGTCTGTTCTCCCCCAAACAGTAGAAAGCTTCCTTCACGCCCAACCAATTGGCAGCTTTGGGGAGAAGTCTGAACTGGGTGGTTTAGACCAAGATCGTCCAACTGTACTAAACATGATCGTCCACATGATATATCCGTAAAGTATATAAACACCTGTTTCTTCATGTAATTGTTCTAAAAGAGTTTAGAAGACAACTCGTGTTCGAACCGTTCGGTTTGATCCCAACTCGACCGACCGACACCCTTGGGACCTCCGATGCCAGGGGGGAAAGCAGGGTGCAATCGGAGCGATGTGCATCAAAGCAGGCGAATGGCATGGGGAGGCAGCGCTGCTTGACATCCCAAAGACCCAGTGGATTCGACCCAGTGGATCCCTGTAAGAAACCAGCGTTTTTGGGTCTATATTGGGTCGAACCACTGGTTGCCAGCTCTATAACTGGATCCCCTGCAGTGGTTTGACCAAAAGCGAATCCTCCGAAGCCAAGCCATTCATCTTTCGACCAGTTCGGTTCGTACGGTTCGTACGGTTTGGCTTCAGGAACGGCCATGGATCCTGCACCCCAAAACACAACCTCAAACAAAGGCATTCAAATGACCTGGTGACCACATCTGCCCCAAAATGATGTCCCTTCTATAATGGGAAAGTCAGCTTGCAACCCCTAAAAAACCAGCACCTGGGCAGCTCAGCTGGAGCTCTGCAGTGGTGGCCCCAAAAGGCAGTGCCGTGGTCACGGAAGCGAGGGTGTCACTGAGGTACACGATCCCTACAGCACCAAAGCCCTGCCTCAGAGAAAAATCTCGCTCCGGACTGTTTTGGAACCACGTCCCACGGTCCGGCACGAGTGGGACATGCAGACCCATCCTGGGTTCAACACATGCCACCACATGGGGGGTCAACACATGCCATGTCTGTGGCTTCATGAGTTCCTGACTCCCGAACCAGAGATGGCAAATGAACGATCTAAGTGGGGTAATACCCAATCACCCAAACAGGTTTTTAAAGGTTTTTCCATGGGTAGGGTTCAGACTTCATGGGGAAGTGCTTTTTGGTATGCCGACCAGCGGATTCTCTTCCGACCAGCTCCAGGATGTTCCCAAGCAGGTCCAGCCATAAAGAAACTGAGATGAGGTTCAAGCACCATGAAGCTACCAGGTCTACCAGGCCTGGCTGGCTCCAGCCCCAACAGATCCTCTAGAATGACACATCCTCCGAAAGCGTGATTCAAAGGACGCATCCACCGAGCAGTGAAACGTAACTATAGTCCTCCAAAAGGTCGTTTGGTTTCCAGGACTGGTGTACGTGACGTGGCGTCTATGTGTGTGTGTGTGGGTAGAAGAAGTAGAGCAAAGGCGTATGTAGCATGCCTGCCTATCTGACCGCCACCAAATCTAACCCACGGGGCACCCGACCTCCAGCTGAACCCGAGATGCACAGCACCAATCCCATCGAAATCCACGCAAAGCCGATAGTGTTGCCCCACCGTGAGGGACTCCGTGTTGAAGATCAGCTCATAGCCTTAGAGCTCCCAAAACACTCGTGTTTTGTGGTGACCAACTGCAAAGGATCTATAGAAATGTGGAGTGCGTAAAGCACCTTCCAAGCTGGAACGTCGTGAAAGAAACGAGTCCGCTCAAAGCCTTGGGACGTTCACCGGGAACACTGGCTCCCTGCGCACCAAATTCTCACCTCCCCCTTAAATAATGGGGAAACAGGGGTTCTAAGGAGTTTTGTTCAAAGTTCATATCATAGATTTTTTGTTCATCACCATCATCTTCATCATCACCTTTCACGGTTTCACCTCGGAGGACTGTAGGGTTTTTTTGATGTAAATAAATCACTGGGGCGATGGCTTTAAGAAGAGGTGGATAATTGCCTAGGGTTGTGATTTTCCTTGTTGGTTTATTGGTCGGGTGATTGAAAAAATGGGAAGACAGAGTTTATATAATATATATAGTCTATCGTGTGTTGTCTTATTCTTTGCTTCTCTCTTTTTTCATCAGTCAGTTCTTGCTCTTGTTTTTCTTTAGCGTTTCTCTCATCATCGGTGATGTTCAAGTTGCGTTGATGCTTCTTTGTTCGCTCGTGCCCTGTCATTCGGTATTTCCGAATTTGAGTGTGGCAGACGGGGCATTCAATTGTTGGTTTTTCCCGAATGCGTAGCGAAGGGTTCTCGTTTAACTCTGGGGGTCTGGGGGTAGAGTCTTGTTCGCGATCCGTTGTTTCTAAGTTCGCAACCGTCCGCAACCGTTCGCAACCGTTCGCAACCGTCCGCAGTAGGTCGCTAAGGCGCTGCCATTGGGGGAAGCTTTTGCAAGTGACTATGCATGGATGTGTCACGTGTTAGTTTGCGACGCGAGTCCATTGTGATTTGCGTGAAAAGGACATGTCGCGCAAGAAGCGTGATGCATTGCACAGGCGAAGCGTTTTGTGAGATCCGCAGTTTGCTACGCAGTTCCATTGGGATTAGCGTTTGGAGAGTCGTGTTTTTGGGGTGTTGGATGTGGCCGTGCCATTGGGATTTGCGTTTCAGGGTGTGACATCGAAGCTCTGTATTCGTGACAAGTCTCAGCTGAAATGCCGATTTTGGACCCTGGGAGTGTGCTCAGAACGGGTCGAAATCATTCCAAACGTGTGGTGTGGTGCAAATTTTGGTGAAGCTCACATGAGATGACATTGTTGCTTTTCGTGGCAGGCGCAGGACTTTGTGCGGGTTTTGAGGTGTGGAAGTGGGATTTTCGTGGCAGGCGCAGGGAATCGTGAGGTTGCGATGCGTGATGGAGGTGACATTTCGTGACAGGCGCAGTACTTTGTGCGCGTTAGACGTGTGGACGCGGAAAGATTCGTGGCAGGCGCAGGGAATCGGGAGGTTGTGAGTTGTGGTAGAGGTGAATGTCGCTGTCACATTGGGATTGGCGTGTGAGCGGGTGTCGTTTGGAGGGGCTGGGATCGCGAAATTGCTTGGCAGGGCTGCGTGATGTGTGTGCTCCGATGGGTGTTTCCGCTGCAAACTTTTGGAGGAAGTCTCGTGCGAAACGCTCGTTTTTGAGACTTGACGCGTGACTTTTGGAGGAAGTCTCGTACGAA